TAAGAATATTCTATGCAATCTATCTTTGTCAACTGAAGTGAGAAGGAGAGCTCCCAAGAGCTGTACACAGCCCCTTCTGACATTCAGAAGTGAAGAACAAACTGTCAGTCGTCAGCAAAAAACTCTGTGGAAGTGGCAGAAATGTGGTTTTACTCAGGAATGATCAGAACATGCTGGACAAGTCAACAGAGTCGTGACAAAATTAACTTATGAAGACAGCTGACTACCCATATAAGAAGGCAGTGTACGTTCTGACACTGTGGGAAGGAGAAAGCTGAAGCACATAGTGACAGCTGGAAAGCTTGAGGTGAAGAGAAGCAGAAGCAGACCGAGAGAGAAGTTTGGAAAGATGGCACAAGACTACAGAGGATAATCTGATGAGTCATGGACCAGGCTGATATACTTAATGCTCTTTGAGAAGTCAGACATTTGCGAGAAATAAATGACAGCAATCTTCAGTCAGACTGGCCAAACTACAAATTAAAAGGGGTGTGGCCAGACAAGAGCACTATGCATGTAACCAAAGAAGAACAAGTAATCAACACAAAACTGGTGTCTTCAGCTGTCACACACCGCAGAATCTACAGAGGAACGGATCTGAACACTTACTGACTGAATGGTTCAGTGTGCAAGAAGATCATCTGTCGAATTAACTGTGTAAGAAATGACTGAATGTACGCTCAACACAAGGCTGACAGGCATTACTATTAGAATAACACTTTTCACATGGACAAAATATACACAGCTGGTAGATAACAAGGGCATTGCCAGATTTCTCTGACATACAGTAAAACATATTGTGACCAAAGGTAAAAATTTCAGCCAAATGTGACATAACGATGGATAAATGTGCAGCAATAACCGAATGCATATGCTATGTTGCTTTTGTTGGAAACAGATACAAGATTCTCTTACAACAACTCAAGAAAATATCACCAAAGTTTTGATACAACTAAAAGAATGAGTCCTGACACTGTAACTGCACATACAAATTATGTGTCGAACATCAATCAAATGTATGGACATATATGATATCTTCTTCTTCTGCTTGCTCTCTTAACAGAGTGGCTTCCCTGTGTGGGTCCGGGGTCCCATTGTGGGGACAACAAGAACAGACCCACTTCCTCCCCAACTAGCATGCTGTAAGAGTAGACTAATTGGGGTTTCCTTTGAAGTCGGAGTGCATCTGCATAAAGACAAGGCAGATCTGTAAAACTTATGTGCACACAACTCAGGTTTTGTAACAAATATAAAGTCCAGAGGTGGATGAACAACCAGAACTTTCCACCAGAGACTACAGCTGGTGCACCAAGAATAAGAAAAGGGTGGCTGACTTGCTGTGTTGTGGTTTTACAGATAGGCTGCGATATCTGCATCTTTCAACCCAAGACATGATTTTTCAGTAAGCCTGTAATCAGTTGCCTTCTAGGACATGCCAGGAAGGAGAGGGGAGGCATGCACTAGTGTTGTAGTCTTATTTGGCAGAGAGTTAAAAGTCAGTTAGCAAGAACAGCACAGGTGAAGGTCACACGGCGGCCACGAGTCATTACCTAGGTAATTATACAACTGAATTGAATTCTGGGGATAGAAGACAAAGGGACAGCAGCAGAGATTTTCCGAGCGCCCAAGTCGGACGTGTGGGTTTCCGCAGTTTAGTGGAAACGCCGCGTTAGATATTTCTCTTTATGAGGTTTTTCATTTGCCGCTGTTTGCGGGAGACAGCTTGATGTCTATTTAGTTTATAATGGCAGGAGTCCATTGAGTGAAGATTGTAATCGTTAATATCGTCCATGTAGATAATAGTGATGTATTATCCTACCTATATAATCATCATCATCTTGTGACGTGTGATGTGAATGACATAAAAGTTTATGTGGCCTGTCACAAGCGTTATTGTTGACTAGTCAAGATAGTAACAACTGTATTTGATGGTGCTGTGCCAAGTGTGCCAGTTGTTATATTAAGCAGGACTGTAGCACATCCGTCACGGAGAGATCCAGCGGCATGTTAGCGTAGGCACCCTAGACCTACATACTTGGTTGTTATAGATACTAAGAAGTATCAGTGCGTAAACATAGACATTTTATAAACTAATATAAATAAGTGCTCTGTACACACGCATAGTCTACACAGGGGTTATCCAAAGAGTACAACAACTAGGTCTATTCTGTTTTCCCAGAATGGGGCATGGCAGTAACATTTTGAGACAAATATAACATCACTTAAGTAGCGATTAACTTTTTGCTGGAAACAGATTAAAAAAAACATTTTCACATAAATGTTACATCACTAAATAGTGTGAAGTGTAACATTCTTTAGGTGACATACTTTAAAACATCATTCAAGACTTTTAGGTTCCCCAGGCAGGTAGGTTCACTCAATGAGATTTATAAGTTCATATTTTTTTACAGCTAAATACATGTCAAATCATTACCTAAATAAAAAATATTAAAACAAGAAAGGTAATATATCAGTAGTGTCGGTGGAGCTCTCAACGGATGATCAAAAAGTGACCCCAAAAAATAACATACTCAAAAATTACTAACATACATATAACATAATAATTAATAATGTAATTAAAATACAATATTATTAATTATAAAGGAAAAAAATAATCTTCACTGAATGATTGCAATACATTTCTAACTCTCTGTCTCTAGCACAGGCTGTAAACTCTGACTGATCTACACCAATCTTGTAATGTTTTCTTTCCACTTACCTCGTTTTCTACCTCTTGCTGGCACGCCTTAACCTCCCCCTCCCCCCCCCCCCCCCCAATCTGTTGTTTGTTACAGTGGTGTGTCTATTAAATGTGGCCAAAATGTTTCACTTTTTGATCTCCTTCATCAATTCTTGTTTCATTCCCAACCTCTAGAACCTTTGTGTATTTTTTGGTATATTCAAATATGAAAGATAAAAAAAACAATAACACAATGGATGGGTCCAAGTTACAATTAATTCAACAGAGATAGAAGTCTCATAAGTCAATTTTTTAATTATGGAAAAGAAGGATCTTAGGTCTATTCTGTAATTAATTAAGTAGAGAAAGACGTTTAATACGTTAACTTTGTAATAAATTAAGTTGAGACAGAAATTTCATTAAGTTAATTTTATACTAAATTAAGCGGAGAGAGAGGTTTCATAAGTCAACGTTGTAATAAATTAGGTTGAGACAGAAATTTCTTTAAGTTAACTTTATACTAAATTAAGTGGAGAGTGAAATATTAAATAATATACTCATGTACAAGCATGCATAATAAATAAGACAATAATTCATTATAATAAATGCTGTTTCATAAACAGAGAACTTCCACAACACAGACATCAGCAAAGATGCATATATACTGGGTAATGACTTTAAAGAGATGAGGTGACCAGCTCTAATACTTGCCACTGTAGCTTTCTTTTGAATCATGCACCAATTCAACAACAAGAGAGGTGTTTAACCTACAAATAGTTTCGTAGCTACACCACTCGCACATCCAGCTTCCATTTAGTTTGAGCTTTAACTCCTTCCTACCTAGAAGCCCAATGAACGCATGATGCACCGATTTTATGACTCTCTTTACTACCCCCTGGGCCTGTGATGTTGAACCCCCTGGGACTCAAAGAGTTAATAAAGCTATAATAAAGCTCATAATTGGTTTGAGCTACCACACAGTCACAAGTTCAGCTCCAATTGTCTCTGAGCTACCACACAGTCACAAGTTCAGCTCCAATTGTCTCTGAGCTACCAAAGAGACGCCAGTTCAGCTTTCATTTGGGCTGAGCTACCATATAGTCAGAAATTCAGCTTCCATTTGGGTTAAAATACCATATAGTCACAAGATCAGCTCCGACTGTCTCTGAGCTAAAACACAGTCATAAATACAGCTCCAATTGTCTCTGAGTTAAGACAGTCAAAAGTTCCGGTCCAACTGTTCCTGAGCTAAGACACAGTCACAGCGGCCTTATGTCTTGGACTGCACCTGATTACTTCTCTAACTTCTTGTTCGATTATTCCAGGCTGTTCCTCGTCTGTATATCTGGGTGTGAATGGTACAGTTCCTTCATTTTCTGTTACATTCAGAAGTTTGGAAATAATCGTCTTTCTCTGATCTTATCCTCTTCTGAGCAATGACACAGTCAAAAGTTTACCTCCAGTTTGGCTTGAGCTGTCAATCCCAATAACAACCCAATTTTAACAAACAGACAGGCCTAATCTCTCGAGTACCTCATCCAATCAATGATAAAATGATCAAAAAAGCTTGCTTAAACAATATGTAAGTATGAGACCTGTAAAATAAATGCAGCACATAATATCATACATAAAGACTCAAATGACTATGTCAATGTTTTACAGTAGAAGCAATCTCAATATGAGAGACCATGTTCATGAACAGCAGCTGACTTCGCTAGAACACGTAGAACATAATGACATTAAAAATATAACTGATGACTTAACTATATTTTTTTTTTTTACCTGTCTATTTTGTTACCATGTTTCTTCTGCAAAAACTAAATCTCGGTACTCCATACAGTGTCTTCCTAATCTAAGGACTGTCCATTATTTACTTCAGCACAATGCAAACTTGAAACTCAAAAGCTAAACCATGACACCAGAAAGAAGGAAAACATCAATTTGTGTCATCACTGTTCACAATAGACTGACAGCACCGGTAGGCCTGGCTCATGTGACAGTTACAGTCTCCCTGCCCCTCCTAATCTAACATAAATTATACAATTGTGAGAGTCCAATCCTCTACTGATAAGCATCATGTGACACTTGAAGATCCTTTACACAACTCTACAGAGCCTAGTGACAATAAAGTCGGACACAATACTAAAACATCAAACACGACCACATCAAAACACTTAAAAAGTCTACAAATGATTAAGTCCGTCCCTTACAAAAAGAAAAAAAAACATCCAATGGTTGTAGACACCACTAAACATTTTTCAACAGTATAAAATATTGTACATGTCAGAATCACATAGCTGCACTAACACAAACTGCAGGGTCAGATCTTGCTGAAGCAGTCTTTAGCACTGGTCCAAATGGCAATCCCCTGGGGAAGATCAAGGAGACCAGGTTAGCTGTTTAGTTAGAAAAGTTAAAATCAAATACATTTATACAAAGTTAACACATTATTTCTTTAAGGCCCTGATAGCAACGCTGTGAGTGTTGATTGAGAAGTCCTAATTTGTTCACCTAATTGCCCTCAGTCCTTTTGTTTCCCAATGCAGTGCCTGTTTTGCTAGCAGCCTTTTATCATTTCTCAGAAATATGAAAACTGTCCATGATTCATTTCCACACATCAGCATTAGAAGAGCTGACATCATCAATGATGGATGGACTTGATAGATTAACAATGACAAGTTTCAGATGCTAACCTGATTATGTGACCTGGGAGTAAAACCTTGTGAAGCCCTTATATGCCGTCTTTAGGTAAGGATAGGAAACATAATTACAAACTTCCTGCGGAAAAAAGCATTCAAGATACATTGGGATGGTTGCTGGGAGAGGCATTCAAGCCACATGCTCAGAAAGTCACACAAACACAGAACCTGCTCACCTTCTTACACTGTTTGATCTGAAGCACAGCGTAGTTTGTGAAGATCTCCTGCAAGTCCTTGACCTTCTGCCTCTGGAACCTGTCGATGTCTCGTAAAGCTTGTTCTATAAATAACCTGTCAAACAACCAATGATAGTGGAAAGTGTTGAGCTAATGAGGAATAATATATATTTCTATTTGAAATATTAGGTTACATTACACACTGAAAGTGAAACAGCTGGCCGAGCGGCTAAGAATGATGGGTTCTCATACAGGAGACCCAGGTTCGAATTTCCCCAGTAAGGTTGTAAAAATAAAATCATAGCCTGCATCTTCGGTGGCTAAAGCATTAGCCATGTTACCCTAAATTCTCAGGTTCAAAGCCAATGCCCTACAGCATACAGCTGTCTGGCACAGGTCATAAACTCTTTGAGGGCTTTTCGCCAGTAAACTGGTGTATGAATTTATCCCTATCGGACTAGTCGCCAGTATACTGGCGTATCATAGAGTCACTTTAATTTTGTTCTGTTTGCAAGGAAACACAAACTTTTATGAAAATTTTTTTTAAAAACTAGGATTAGTGAAAGGAAGTTCTTTCATTTGAGATGTTCCACGTGGCTTTTGCGTCACTTTCTGATTTAAAAAAAAAATATTTAGATGTGACACAATTTTATGTGAGGTTTCTATACCAAATGATAGGGGAAAAGGACTAGTACTGTTCATACTGCTATGTTGTTCATGAATCTCTGCCAGATGGTGACAACAGTCCTGATTTTATGACTGGTATCTCAGTGACAAACCTATTGACAAAAACTTAGTTTAGGATATGAAAATTGAACAAAATATTTCAATCAGATCATCTGTTTCGGTCAGATTTTTCCAGATTTTCGGTTATTGTGAAATCTGCATGTCATACAAAAAAGATCATAACATCCAAAATATTTAAATTAAATGTTTCAAATAAAGACTAGTGATACGTGAGAGAAGGCATGTGAGTTCTTAGAATTGGATAGCAGTGTTGTTGAGCAATAAAAAGGTAAGGTAAGCAAGCATACAATTTTTTAAGTAAATGATCTTCATATGTGTCTGTCCTTGAATGTTGTGTGATTTTAATATTATTTTGTTGTTATACTGACATTTCAATAAATAATTTTATTTATTCTGCACTCATTTATCTTTAATTTGACATATTATACACCCTGATACAGCCAATACTTTTTTCTTTTTTCTTCACAAAGGTTTTAGCTTTGTCGTGTTGCATTAAAAAAAAATATTCCACTCAAAATTGCCCCCCAGAAAAAAATGTGGTACTGAAAGAGTTAATAGGGGAACAATACTAAAACAAAACACTATATTCAAAGCGGAAAAAAAAAGCCCTACTCAGACTCCTCCTGAACCTTCTTGAGATCAGCTTCTGCCTGCATAATCTGCTCCTCCAGCTGCTTCACCTTGGCCTCCCTCTGCTCTGGGGTGTCACCTCCAAACAGCTTGGACTTCATCCCACTCAATGAGAAGCCACTCTTCCCTGAATTGTTGCCCTGGAAAAGAGATCAAATGTGAACCTCAAACTAAGGCTTCTTCTACCGATTCTGATACAGACTGTTGGAAGAGTTTGCTCACGTAAGAGAAGGACACTGATCATCATGGCAGGCACAAGCCTAGGTGACACTACAACATGGCTGTAAAGTGATGGCACAGGCCTGGGTGACACTACAACATGGCTGTAAAGTGATGGCACAGGCCTGGGTGACACTACAACATGGCTGTGAAGTGATGGCACAAGCCTAAGTGACACTACAACATGGCTGTGAAGTGATGGCACAAGCCTGGGTGACACTATAACATGGCTGTGAAGTGATGGCACAAGCCTGGGTGACACTACAACATGGCTGTGAAGTGATGGCACAAGCCTGGGTGACACTACAACATGGCTGTGAAGTGATGGCACAAGCCTGGGTGACACTACAACATGGCTGTGAAGTGATGGCACAAGCCTAAGTGACACTACAACATGGCTGTGAAGTGATGGCACAAGCCTAAGTGACACTACAACATGGCTGTAAAGTGATGGCACAAGCTTGGGTGACACTACAACATGGCTGTGAAGTGATGTCACAAGCCTGGGTGACACTATAACATGGCTGTGAAGTGATGGCACAAGCCTGGGTGACACTATAACATGGCTAAGAAGTGATGGCACAAGCCTGGGTGACACTACAACATGGCTGTGAAGTGATGTCACAAGCCTGGGTGACACTACAACATGGCTGTGAAGTGATGTCACAAGCCTGGGTGACACTATAACATGGCTGTGAAGTGATGGCACAAGCCTGGGTGACACTACAACATGGCTGTGAAGTGATGGCACAAGCCTGGGTGACACTACAACATGGCTGTGAAGTGATGGCACAAGCCTGGGTGACACTACAACATGGCTGTGAAGTGATGGCACAAGCCTAAGTGACACTACAACATGGCTGTGAAGTGATGGCACAAGCCTAAGTGACACTACAACATGGCTGTAAAGTGATGGCACAAGCTTGGGTGACACTATAACATGGCTGTGAAGTGATGTCACAAGCCTGGGTGACACTATAACATGGCTGTGAAGTGATGTCACAAGCCTGGGTGACACTATAACATGGCTGTGAAGTGATGGCACAAGCCTAAGTGACACTACAACATGGCTGTGAAGTGATGGCACAAGCCTGGGTGACACTACAACATGGCTGTGAAGTGATGGCACAGGCCTGGGTGACACTATAACATGGCTGTGAAGTGATGGCACAAGCCTGGGTGACACTACAACATGGCTGTGAAGTGATGGCACAAGCCTGGGTGACACTACAACATGGCTGTGAAGTGATGGCACAAGCCTGGGTGACACTATAACATGGCTGTGAAGTGATGGCACAAGCCTGGGTGACACTATAACATGGCACTCAGGGCATTCCCATAAGCACTCCGACACCACCTTCAGTAGCCAGTGCAGAGTTCTAGTACCAACAATGAACACCCAATAGATGTACCTGTTTTAAAACCTGTTCTGCTTACCTTGATTCAAATTATTTACAAAAGAACTGACAATCAGTGATTGTCACCGTTTAAACACACACCCAGATGACAATCAGTGATTGTCACTGTTAAAACACACACCCAGTTGACAATCGGTGACTGTCACTGTTAAGACACACACCCAGTTGACAATCAGTGACTGTCACTGTTAAGACACACACCCAGTTGACAATCAGTGACTGTCACTGTTAAGACACACACCCAGTTGACAATCAGTGACTGTCACTGTTAAGACACACACCCAGTTGACAATCAGGGACTGTCACTGTTAAGACACACACCCAGTTGACAATCAGTGACTGTCACTGTTAAGACACACACCCAGTTGACAATCAGTGACTGTCACTGTTAAGACACACACCCAGTTGACAATCAGTGGTTGTCACTGTTCAAACACACACCCAGTTGACAATCAGTGACTGTCACTGTTAAAACACACACCCAGTTGACAATCAGTGACTGTCACTGTTCAAACACACACCCAGTTGACAATCAGTGACTGTCACTGTTCAAACACACACCCAGTTGACAATCAGTGACTGTCACTGTTAAAACACACACCCAGTGACAACTTTACACACTACATTCCATCCACTGGCAACATGCCCCACAATACACCTAATGTGGCATCCTGCATCACAACTCTCAACTAGTGGCAGCCTCTATTCCAACTCATCCAATGCCTTGAGAGTATGAGGCAAATGGCTTGGCCACTTCACCACACAGATCCCACAACAGTGTGTTTTAATTCTAGTTTACCCTGTATACAAGATCGTCTCTCTCTTGCTGTCTCCCAAATTTCAACTCCATCAATTCCTATCTTCACTATCAGCTAGTATCGCTCCATATACAATGGTGGCCAACGGTTTAACACTACCTAGTAAACAAGTGATTTTCTACACTCTTGTGGAGTTCTGCACTAACTGCTATTTAAGGGCAGAATGATGACTACAATGAATGCCTAGCGGGCCCTAAGACAAAGGTCTAGCGGGCCCTCAGACAAAAGATTAGTGGGTTCTAAGACAGAAGCCTAGTGGGTTCTAAGACAGAAGCCTAGTGGGTTCTAAGACAGAAGCCTAGTGGGTTCTAAGACAGAAGCCTAGTGGATTCTAAGACAGAAGCTTAGTGGGTTTTAAGACAGAAGCCTAGTGGGTTCTAAGACAGAAGCCTAGTGGGTTCTAAGACAGAAGCCTAGTGGGTTCTAAGACAGAAGCCTAGTGGGTTCTAAGACAGAAGCCTAGTGGGTTCTAAGACAGAAGCCTACCAGGCCCTCTGACAGAAGCCTATCGGGTCCTCAGACAGAAGCCTAGTGGGTTCTAAGACAAAAGCCTAGTGGGTTCTAAGACAAAAGCCTAGTGGGCCCTCAGACAAAAGCCTAGTGGGTTCTAAGACAGAAGCCTACCAGGCCCTCTGACAGAAGCCTATCGGGTCCTCAGACAGAAGCCTAGTGGGTTCTAAGACAAAAGCCTAGTGGGTTCTAAGACAAAAGCCTAGTGGGCCCTCAGACAAAAGCTTAGTGGGTTCTAAGACAGAAGCCTAGCGGGTCCTCAGACAGAAGCCTAGTGGGTCCTAAGACAGAAGCCTAGTGGGTCCTAAGACAAAAGCCTAGTGGGCCCTCAGACAAAAGCCTAGTGGGTTCTAAGACAGAAGCCTACCAGGCCCTCTGACAGAAGCCTAGCGGGTCCTAAGACAGAAACCTAGCGGGTCCTAAGACTGAAGCCTATTAGGCCCAAAGACAGAAGCCTAGCAGGCCTTTAAGACAGAAGCCTATTAGCCCCTAAGACAGAAGCCTAGCGGGTCCTAAGACAGAAGCCTATTGGGCCTAAAGTCAGAAGCCTAGCAAGGCCCTCTGACAGAAGCCTAGCGGATCCTAAGACAGAAGCCTACTGGGCCTAAAGACAGAAGCCTAGCGGGTCCTAAGACAGAAGCCTATTGGGCCTAAAGACAGAAGCCTATTGGGCCTAAAGACAGAAGCCTAGCGGGTCCTAAGACAGAGGCCTATTGGGCCTAAAGACAGAAGCCTAGCGGGTCCTAAGTCAGAAGCCCAGCGGGTCCTAAGACAGAAGCCTAGCGGGTCCTAAGAAACAAGACTAGAGGGCCCTAAGGAAGAAGCCTATAGGGTCTAATGACAGAAATGGATCAATACTTTGTAACAGCAATGAAACACACACAAAACTAATTACAGTGCAGACCACTTAGGTCTTAAGTAGATGTTATTTAAACCCCTTATTTTTCATGGAGTTGAGCTTAAAAGCAATAAATACTGTGGTTGATTGATTTGATTTGATTCAAGAACCGACATCACAGCATTCGAGGCATTCCCATAAGCACTCCGTCCCCATCTTCAGCAGCCAGCGAAGAGCTCCGATACTAATGGTGCCAGTAGCTTTCCGATTAAAAGTCCACTACTGTGGTCTGATGGGGTTTAACAGTGACACAATGGGAGCAGAGTAGTTAGTTTAATAACAGAGATAACAAGAGTTAAGGTAACTTGTCTCTATAACAGCAGACAGTAAGAACATCCTTTTATCTTTGGAGTGACCAAGAAATGTATGGTGAGTTGTTTGTGACTGAAAGAGTTAATTTTGGATATGGCAAATTTCTGCTGTGAAGAACAATTTGTTTCTTACTGATAATCACCAAATGTTTTAACTTTCATTTGTGAATTGTGATAAAAAGAACTATTTCTTGGGTCCCTGGTGAGTTCTTCTTATCAGGTCTGCACTGTATTTACCAAGTGGGCTTACACGTTTGGTCACCACTGTAAAGTATCTCACTCAATGGTTGTCTTCACTTTTGTATCTCCATTCTCATTCATTTCATTGAAAAAATCTCTACATCCTTCATCTAGTGACCACAGTTTTGTCTTCTTTTATTTACTGAGCACAACTTTTCTTTCATTTACTGAATGGCAATGACTTCATTCATTCAATGCCCCCCCCCCCCCCCCCCCAACCCTCCAATCCCACAACCTCTTCTGTCTGCACAGAAGACATCTGTGTCAATGTATCTCTATTCTCATACAACCTGCGAAACTGTAGTCAACTATTACATTTGCATCCAAAATCACAAAAAAATTAGCACACTCAACTTGGACTCTAAGAAAATAAGAACACAAGAAGCCTTGAGAAATGAAAAATAAAGACAATTAGAAGTGCAACATCAAAACTGCTGAGCTGTAAACCTTTCAAGCAAAAACTCAACACTTAACACATCTACAGTGACTGAAGCAGCAGGAAATGCAATGTTCCAGCAGTGAGCCAGACAAAAACAAAAATCTGCTGTTTCAGCAGTGCGTCTAAAAAAACAAAAAACAAAAACACACAAAAATGACAAACTGTACATTATATGATATTCTAATACTTTCTCTGAGACTCCTTTGTTTTTTTTAAACCAGATCTACATAGCAAGGGAGATGATCTTGTACCTAAAGTAAACTAAATTTATAATACACTGTAGAGGAGTCTCTGTGCCGAAGTGGTCAAGCCATTTCTTTCATACTATGAAAGTCACGGGTTCATTTCACAGGCGCATTGATCAGTTCAGGAACTCAATTTTAATGCAGATCCTTGGGGATCATTGCTGGCGCTAGGGAGTTCATGCTTTATGTTGCACTCTCGACAGGCAGCTAGCCGTATGGGATAAACCCTAGTGCAATGAAGTCGACCCTCTCAACTCAACTGTAATTTACAAGACACTATATACACCAAGCCAATAGACCATTGTCTCTTTCAGCTCAGGAAAAACATTTTAAGACAGTAATGCTATATGTATTGTAGTTCTTTTTCTTTCTTTTATTTTCTAACTCTTTCCATCCCAGAATAATACTGGGTATGCCACATACACAGAGCCCACATACACATCACTTGTGCATCATATTATGTTAACTCATGCATATGAGTAAATACAGTCACACGTGGTGTGTTACTTGGGACCAGAAGGGTAAATAAGTCATACATCAGCGTGGATTCAGGAGCAAATTTAACACCCTATGTCTTACTTTTCTATCAAGTTGTTTCTTTGTTTCTTTTTAACAACAATCATCAACGCTCCCTGCTTTTATGAATCCCCTGTCATCTATTTGTAAGAATCACTTAAGTCTGTATTTGTAGCATACATCCCCATATCGGTTCGAACTTATTTTTTAAGTTAGATGTTATACTTCTAAATAACTCAACCATCTCTACCACAGAAGCACAATACAACCAGCATTCAATAAAGCAAAGTCAAGAACTTTCTTCCACACCTTCAGGTATACTGGGCACACAGGGCTAGACCTATATTTTATAGACCAATTGGCACTGGATGAGTGATGTGGTCAGTATCACGCAGGCTGCATTCAAAACAGCTAACTATCAAAAATGAACATAAAACACACAAGAAAGGAAAATGAACTAGAGCAAATCTAAACTAAAATAACACCAAATGTTCCTGCCATTTAACTGACACTGAAGTACAACATCAACAAATGCCAACAGAAAAGTCCAATCTAATGAGATGACCATTACCTCTTCATGAACCGGGCTATCTGCAATGGCTTGTTTCTATTTTACAGCCAGCAGCATGATGATGATGATAAACATAGACAATGTCAACTCTCGATAAATATAATTTAAGAACACTAACAGAATCTCAGAACTCTAAAGTGCTATACCAACCCACAATGTCTACACACTATACAGTTATAGTCAGTACCAACCCACAATGTCTACACACTATACAGTTATAGTCAGTACCAACCCACAATGTCTACACACTACACAGTTATAGTCAGTACCAACCCACAATGTCTACACACTATATAGTCAGTACCAACCCACAATGTCTACAAACTATACAGTCAGTACCAACCCACAATGTCTACACACTATACAGTTATAGTCAGTACCAACCCACAATGTCTACACACTACACAGTTATAGTCAGTACCAACCCACAATGTCTACACACTATACAGTTATAGTCAGTACCAACCCACAATGTCTACACACTATACAGTTATAGTCAGTACCAACCCACAATGTCTACACACTATATAGTTACAGTCAGTACCAACCCACAATGTCTACACACTATATAGTTATAGTCAGTACCAACCCACAATGTCTACACACTACAGTTATAGTCAGTACCAACCCACAATGTCTACACACTATACAGTTATAGTCAGTACCAACCCACAATGTCTACACACTATACAGTTAGGGTCAGTACCAACCCACAATGTCCACACACTATACAGTTATAGTCAGTACCAGCCCACAATGTCTACACACTATACAGTTATAGTCAGTACCAACCCACAATGTCTACACACTATACAGTTATAGTCAGTACCAACCCACAATGTCTACACACTACACAGTTATAGTCAGTACCAACCCACAATGTCTACACACTATACAGTCAGTACCAACCCACAATGTCTACACACTATACAGTTATAGTCAGTACCAACCCACAATGTCCACACACTATACAGTTATAGTCAGTACCAGCCCACAATGTCTACACACTATACAGTTATAGTCAGTACCAACCCACAATGTCTACACACTATACAGTTATAGTCAGTACCAACCCACAATGTCTACACACTATACAGTCAGTACCAACCCACAATGTCTACACACTATACAGTTATAGTCAGTACCAACCCACAATGTCTACACACTACAGTTATAGTCAGTATCAACCCACAATGTCTACACACTATACAGTTTATAGTCAGTACCACCCACAATGTCTACACACTATACAGTTATATTCAGTACCAACCCACAATGTCTACACACTATACAGTTATAGTCAGTACAAACCCACAATGTCTACACACTACAGTTATAGTCAGTACCAACCCACAATGTCTACACACTATACAGTTATAGTCAGTACCAACCCACAATGTCTACACACTATACAGTTATAGTCAGTACCAACCCACAATGTCTACACACTATACAGTTATAGTCAGTACCAACCCACAATATCTACACACTATACAGTTATAGTCAGTACCAACCCACAATGTCTACACACTATACAGTTATAGTCAGTACCAACCCACAATGTCTACACACTATACAGTTATAGTCAGTACCAACGCACAATGTCTACACACTAAACAGTCAGTACCAACCCACAATGTCTACACACTATACAGTTATAGTCAGTACCAACGCACAATGTCTACACACTATACAGTTATAGTCAGTACCAACCCACAATGTCTATACACTAAACAGTCAGTACCAACCCACAATGTCTACACACTATACAGTTATAGTCAGTACCAACCCACAATGTCTACACACTATATCACAGTTAAAACTATACAGTTACCAATCCCACCAACCCACAATGTCTACACACAGTTATACAATTCCAGATCAAGTAAAACCCTGATTCATGTTCCAATCCAGTATTTCTACAAACCTGGTGATCTGTGTGTTAACATGTGGTGAAACGTTCATAAAGCAAAGGTCTTTCTTCTTCTGCGACACCTCCAAAAGGGCAGTCGGCACATTATGTTGGCGTTTTCACAGCTCGGCTGCCAAATCTGCACCTTTCCGCCCATTATATCTGATTTCGGCAAATCCCTATTTAGACTATATGACATGCGCATCAGGGTGGCAGTTAATTCATTCTTTCACCCAAAATGGGACCATGAACCCATCCGGGGGGGGGGGGGGGGGGTGGGGGGGGGCACATGAACCCACTCGGGAAGCAATGATCACTAAATTATTTCCAATCCCAAAGGCTGTTTTTGAACAGGTAAATAAAATTTTTAACAGCCAAATGGACCAATTCACAGTCCATTCAGTCTAATTATATTTACTCGGATGAAATAAAACATAACCAGTTTATCCACAGAGTAAACTAACTTTTGTAAATAAGTAAAAAGACTGGACAAATCAATGACTGGCCAGCATGTGTAAATAAACAAGTTTGCTACAGCTGGTTAAATTAGATTTTGATGTAATGACCCATGACATCACAGCAGTCAGTTTATGAAGGCTTAACTCTTTCAGTCCCGGGGGTTTAGCATCAGATGTACTCAGGCCAAAAAAGATTGATGTAAAATCGGCACATCTTACGTTTACTAGCCTTTACTAAGACAGGAACTTATGAACATATGATGTGTTCCTTGGGACTGAAAGAGTTAATGTAGTCAAATACATTTATCTGCATAATCAAGTGAACATACACACAAGAGACAGAACCAGTGTATGCAAGAATCAGTTTTACAGACAACTTGCAAATAATACAGCCCGTAGACCCATGTGATAGAATCAGTTATACAGACAACAAGTAGTCAACACAACCGGCATAAATAAGTGACAGAACCAGTTATATGTACAACTTATAGTCAACATAACCGGTGTACATTCGTGACAGAACCAGTTATATGTACAACTAGTATTCAACACAACCTGTGCACATTAGCGACAGAACCAGTTATATATGATCAAAAAGAAGTGAAATAGTGTGGCAACATACCAAAGCATCCCTCTGACTTGTCTTCATTGACAAGGTATCTTCAGCCTTTTCCATGTCATACTGGGCACACTCGTACCTCCGACACACAGCCCTGAAAAGAACCACAACATAACCAAAATCAACTACCTCATCACCGATGATGGATGTTTATCAGGATGAGCTAATGTAGAGTAGTACAAAAATGTCCAGTGAATCAGTAGCTGAGGAAAAGATGCTGGAGTTGGAGGATGTTTATCAGGATGAGCTAATGTAGAGTAGTACAAAAATGTCCAGTGAATAAGTAGCTGAGGAAAAGATGCTGGAGTTGGATAGGACACACACTGAAAAAAAAAAAAACCTTATCAACAATATAACACAAACGTATGTGCACTGGAACAGATAAGGTCTAAGGAATAAAGGCAGACTGAAAACACAGAGAAAGAAATGAGCATTGAGGGAACAAGTGGGGAAAACATGAGTTGAGCAGTGTGCAATAGAAGAGGACAGGACATATTAGCATAAGCTGGTTGAATACCTATGGTCTACTGGGGGATAAACAGCAGAAGGAGACAGTAAAATCAGCCATTAGGACAGGTGTGAGACTGCTAGCTTTGTGGTTCTATCTCTGTATCTATATCGTCTTTATGTTGCTGTTGACACATAAGATATTCACAAAAGATCACTGCTGAAAGTCTGCTGCTTTTCTACCTATGGTGCCACATGTCGATTTACATTCCTTCACTTCCATTTCCCCGGTCACTCTGCAGGTTTCCTTCAGTCATCCACATCTCTTTTTTTTTCCCATCGACCATCCATCAGAGAGCTGTGTCATGAGGCATTCCGCAAACATGTCTGAACCATCTCAGTTTTCTCCCTAAGATAACATTTCCCAGTAATGAGCATGTTTTTCTCCTCCTCAGTTCTCTACCTGTGATCTTGTCTGGCCAAAAAAAGTATGCTGGCCTGGTGATCACTGGCCTAAATCCCCATTAAGCTAGACGTTTTAAGTTCCAGTCTGAAACATCCTTAAATGGGCACTAGGAAATGTCCATGAAAGAAAAGACAGCTAGCAAGATACTGACCACATCATCCAACAGGATACATAACCACATGTACACAAAATTCAAGATAGCCGTATCAGCCATGTGGGAGTCCCCATGGCAGAGCGGCTAGACGCTCGCTGCGGATCGGAAGGTCGTGGGTTTGCTCCCTGGAGGAGCCGGACTATTTTCAAAACTGATCTTGGCTCCCAGGTCAACCCAGCCTTGAGTGGGTACCGGGTGCAGACCCAGGAAGTAGAGGCGGCCGCTGTGATGCTGACCACATCACCCATCTTGTGCCAATTGGTTTATAAAAATATAGGTCTAGCCCTATATGCCCTATAGGCCTAAAGGCGTGGAAAAGGGTCCTTTACTTATTAATTTTATTATCCGCCATGCGCGCCTGTGGAAAGGAGCCCAGCATGTACTCCAGGACTGCACTGTATTTGACACATTAAGGCAAACCTTATGACCAGAAAGAACAACAGTGGAATGTAAACTCTATGGACCACTGAATGAACTAACAACGACTGTGAAATTTATACAAGAGACAAAATTGCTGATATAGATAACTTATATCAGGCGAACGAAAAAAGAAGAAGAAATCTAACAAGTTCTGGCTGATCCACAAAAGTAGGTGACCACACCATTTACACAATAAGAGTAATGAGAATTGGGCCATCTATATCTTGTCCTGCCATCATTCAGTAATAAGTTTATTTCAGTGTTTGTTATCGTTTTCTCGGCCATGCTCTTTTTCCTACCCATCGATAAAATGCTGCGTATCACAAGTGTGTATTTAATGCTCACACTGCTGATACAACTGTCATCACTACTGCTCCAAACAATCATGAGGAGTCAATCATCTATCTAATATTCATTCAGTAGCTACTACACAACTTGCTATAGCATAGACATACGCAGCGGGTCCCACTGACAAAGTGGTCAAGCCATTTGAAACGCATTCTGAAGGTCGCTGGTTCATTTCACGGCGACACCATTCACAGGCGAACATTTTAGGAAGACCCCTGGGAATCATCACTGGAGCTAAGGTATTTGTGCTCTGTGTGACGCTTTTGGCAGGCGGCTAGCCATTCTGCGGAGAGAGAGAAAAAGCCACGTGGGATAAAACCCGGTGCTATGAAGTCGATCCTCTCACCTTTAACCTTTAACCAACTCATTTCCTTTCTTTAGTGAACTCACAAGTCATCATCATCATCGTCATCATCATCATCATTATTGTCATCATCATCATCATCATCATCGTCACCATCATCATCATGGCAAAGCAGAGCAGGCAAGGTTTTCACACTGCCTCAAAAAGATCTGTCTTCCACTTTCCCCAACCAAGTTTGACTGGTAGTCTCCTTCTGTGTGACTCTGCCAATATTGTGTTGTTTTACAGCTAGGCTGCAACATCTATGCCTTTCGGCTAAACATATATATCTTAAACAAACCCTTAACCACCTCTTGAAACATGTTTGTTTTATTGCATAGGGTGGGGAGCCTTTTATGGGCCTTCGATTTCTTCCCCTCAAAATGGATAGACATTACAGAACACTGAAATACAGCACATACCTGACTGATAAACATTAGGGAACACTAGAAGGCAGCACATACCTGACTGATAAACATTAGGGAACACTAGAAGGCAGCACATACCTGCTGATAAACATTAGGGAACCCTAGAAGGCAGCACATACCTGACTGATAAACATTACGGAACACTAGAAGGCAGCACATACCTGACTGATAAACATTACGGAACACTAGAAGGCAGCACATACCTGACTGAGTCAGCAAAGGCGTAATACTCTTTCAGCTGATCAGCATACTGTTCTTCCTCCTCCAGTTGTGCATCAATGGTGGCTGCGAACCTGTGTACATCAGGGGTACAAGGTGTACATCAGGGGTACAAGGTGTGTATCAGGGGTACAAGGTGTGTATCAGGGGTACAAGGTGTACATCAGGAGTACAAGGTGTGTATCAGGGGTACATGGTGTACATCAGGGGTACATGGTGTACATCAGGGGTACAAGGTGTGTATCAGGGGTACACGGTGTACATCAGGGGTACAAGGTGTACATCAGGGCTACAAGGTGTACATCAGGGGTACAAGGTGTACATCAGGGGTACAAGGTGTACATCAGGGGTACAAGGTGTACATCAGGGGTACAAGGTGTACATCAGGGGTACAAGGTGTACATCAGGGGTACAAGGTGTACATCAGGGGTACAAGCTGTACATTAGGAGTACAAGGCGTTCATCAGGAGTACAAGGAGTATACTAGGAGTACAAGGTGTACATCAGGAGTACAAGGCGTACATTAGGAGTACAAGACGTACTTCAGGGGTACAAGGCATTTATTAGGAGTACAAAATGTATATCAGGAGTACAAGGTGTACATCAGGAGTACAAGGCGTACATTAGGAGTACAAGGTGTACATCAGGAGTACAAGGCGTACATTGGGAGTACAAATCATACGTTGGGAGTACAAGGCGTACGTTGGGAGTACAAGGCGTACATTGGGAGTACAAGGTGTACATTGGGAGTACAAGGCGTACATTGGAAGTACAAGGCGTACATTGGCAGTACAAGGCGTACATTGGGAGTACAAGGCATACATCAGGAGTACAAGGCGTACATTAGGAGTACAAGACGTACATCAGGGGTACAAGGCATTCTTAAGGAGTACAAAGTGTATATCAGGAGTACAAGGTGTACATCAGGAGTACAAGGCGTACATTAGGAGTACAAGGTGTACATCAGGAGTACAAGGTGTACATTGGAAGTACAAGGCGTACGTTGGGAGTACAAGGCGTACATTGGGAGTACAAGGCGTACATTAAGAGTACAAGGAGTACATTGGGAGTACAAGGCATACATTGGGAGTACAAGGCGTACATTGGGAGTACAAGGCGTACATTGGGAGTACAAGGCGTACATTGGGAGTACAAGGCGTACATTGGGAGTACAAGACATACATCAGGGGTACAAGGCATTCATCAGGAGTACAAAGTGTATATCAGGAGTACAAGGTGTACATCAGGAGTACAAGGCGTACATTTGGAGTACAAGGCGTACATTGGGAGTACAAAGCGTACATTGGCAGTACAAGGCGTATATTGGGAGAATAAATAAAATGATGAGGGCCAGCAACACAATAGAGAGAGAGAGAGAGAGAGAGAGAGAGAGAGAGAGAGAGAGAGAGAAAGAGAGAGAGAAAAAGAAACAGACAGAGATAGAGACATAGACAGAGCGAGAAACACAGAGACAGAGATAGAAAAAGACACACAGTCAGACAGAGTGAGAAGTGAGGGAGGGAGAGAGAGAAAATGAATGACTGAAGAAACAAACAAATTTTATTTCGAGAGAGAGAGAGAGACACACAGAGAGAGATAGACAGAGAGAGAGAACGAACAAACTTTATTTTATCAAAGGGTTACAAATTGGGCACGCAGGCCCGTCTGACATTCGACCCTTTTAAGCACTCATTTTTCAGAGTACCAATGCCTGTTATCAATAATGCATGTTATAGATATAATAAAGAAATATAAATTATAGAATAATGCATACTCATATCATGTGTACACAATCGTACACACGTATACATACTCCTACATTCTCATACACGCACACTCATATACAGACATACGTAATATACACACACACGCATACATACATACACTCTGGTATGTACACATAATGGATCCTCCATGGGGGTCAGGAGTTACTGCAATTTGAGGAATTCTCTTTATGTGAGTTATGGGAGAAGTCTGAAACACCAATGTCAGTCTTCTTCTTCTTCTTCTTCTTCACTTCCTCTTTTACCGCTGTGGGTGTCGAGGGAGATATAAGGTTCTGTTTCTAGCTCTTCTGGCTGCCTCGACCATAGGCACATCGTACTGTTGTAGAGTTTCTCTGATGTTATCCTTCCATCTTGTTCTTGGTCTACCCCGTGCTCTACGTCCTTCTTCTCTTCCCATGTATGCTTTGTATGGTATGGTGTCACAAGGCATTCTCTCTAAGTGGGCAAACCATTTCACTTGTTGTCTTTGTATGTAATCCAGAATTGGTTCTGTGCCGACTTGTTCTCTTATGATCTCATTTCTGATCTTATCTCTTATGGTCACTCCTACAGCCCTTCTCAGACATCTCATTTCCGTGGTTACTAATTTTCTTTTATGGTTTGTTGTGATTGACCATGTCTGGCACTGGTAGCACAGAGTTGGAATAAATATGCTTTGAATAAGATGTCTCTTTGTGCTGATTGGGATTGTCTTATGCTGTAAGAGGGGGGCTAGCTGTCCCAATACTTGGTTTGCTTTACTGCATCTAATGTCAATTTCTTTATCCAATTTCCCATCTTCGGTAAATGTAGTTCCCAGATATTTAAACGCAGCTGCCTGTTTAATGCCTTTGTATTCTATTGTTATGTTTAGATCTGTCTTATTTTTTCCTATTGACATTACTTCTGTCTTTTCAGTGTTGATTCTCATATTATTTGTTTTACATTCTTCATTCATGGATGTTAGATGTTGTTGCAATTTCATAGCTGTATCTGCTATCAAGGCCTGGTCATCTGCAAAGAGTAATTCGTTGATCTTACTAAGATCTTCATTCATGGGCTTGGCATTCTTGCATATACTGTCGATGTAGGTGATAAACAGCAGTGGTGATAAGACACACCCCTGTCTTACTCCAGATGTCACTGTGAAAGGATGAGATGTTCCCTGATTTATTCTAACTACACTTCTACAATCCCTGTATAAACTTTTGCACACTTCGATGAGGTGTTCGCTTACTCCATATCTTGCCATTATTTTCCATAATAATTGAATGTCAGTGATTCCCAAATTGTGCATGGTGGTGCCCCGGGGAGCTTCGACCTCTTCACAGGGGTGCCGCCGCAAAATATTGTAAAAGCTTCATAATTAATTTAACCAAGACATGAATAGTCATACTTTTACTTAGATTAGGATGCCGTGGAAATTTTTTTTATGAAACAAGGCACCGCCACCAAGAAAAGTTTGGGATACATTGACTTATGTCAATGTGTGATAGAAGTGATTCTGGAGAAACTAATGCAAAACTGATCATAAAGAACGATCTTAAAACACCTGTCACTGCCATGGGGCGTGATAACCAGGTTTCCCACACACACTATAACGCGATCGACTAGTGCCAACAATGTCTCTGCAGCACCATAGGACATCTTTGAAAAATTTGGTTTACAGCTGCCGGGAAAACACAGGAATGAGCTACTTACACATCCATGTAGTGACTGGCACTCTGCAGGTGCTCAGCAATGTCCTTCTCCAACGCGCTCCACTCGTTGAACACCCGAGCGTAGTTGCCGTGGACTTTGTGGATTCCATACAGCTTGTCACACAAACGCTGAGGATTTTCATTGATCAAACTTGAAGCACAAAGTTAACATAAATTGTTTTTGAAATCAACAAGACTACATTACATGTAATAACACTCTACTTGAATTGTTTTAGAGTTATTAAAATTCTACATACATCATTTTAGAGTTATGAAATATTTACACTAATTATTTTTAAGTCATCAAAAATTCATATGAAATATTATTTAATTTATTTATTGTAAGTCTGTAAAATGTGACTGTAAAATCATTGTTGTTTTTCTTGTTTGTCAGCATCCTTCTGCCTTTTCGGACGAGTTATATTGTGATATGAGTAAGCATGGGACTTACAGCCCATGGCAATGGCGAGTGTGACTAGCAAGACTTGCCCCTGTTAAGAAAAGTCTTCCACAATTTGAACATGGAATTTCAGGCTGATGTTTTCAAGTTTTATGTTTAGTGAGTTTCTTCTCAGCTCTCATCTTCTCTTCTCACTTCCTTCCTGATGTGTCTCCTCTATGCAACATGCTCCATTGCATTTTGTTATGGTTGTGGTTACCTGTAAAATCATATAAACTTAGAAAGAAACAAATAAGGCGAGGACTTACCGCTCTAATCTTGAGAATGTTACCGATATTATTCTGCAGATCGGAGCAGTAGTTTTTCAATTCTTCAAACCGTCTGTAAAAAAATAAACACACATACAATTAATAGAGCATGAGTGTAGCAACACCAGGGTGAAATGAGAATGCATTTGGCCGACTCTTTGAAAGCTATGTATATATATATATATATATATATATCCAGAACATGCATCTTTAGTATGTATGAGTGTCTGCATGTGTGTGTGTGTGTGGGTAGGTGGGTAAAATGATTATGTTAATTGAGGATCATTTTACAGTCCCCAAAGATAACTGAGGGTTTTAACTTAAATGTTACACAAATGTTCAATAATGATTATAGATCAAAATATTTTTTTTTAATGGATGCAAAAGAAAGGTGACTCACAGAAAACTGCAATACTTTGACTAAATAATATATCATAACAGTTAAGAAAAAAAATTAGTTGAAGAGGTTCCAGTCAATGAACACAAAAGTAAAGAAGTTATTTAAAACACTCTAGATATGAACATGTATGAGGTCAGGGGAAATAGCTGAAACTTTCTGGTGGACAAAGTTACACTTGTTTAGGTGGGACTTAATGCTAGTCTAGAACCCCTGCGACAGTTGCCTGTTCCAAGAGAGTTCAGAGTTTATCAATTCAAGAATGTTCCCATTTCCAATTCAAGTAAATGCTCCCATTCCTTTGAAGTTTACATTGCGACATATTTGCTTCTTCTTGGTCATTATTTATGTTTCAGATTTTGCCCTGTGTTTGCTTAAAGGCTTGGTTGGAAAGATGTATTGTGGTTTACAGCTAGGCTGTAAGTGCTGTGCTTTTCTACCTAACACATCTCATTTCAACAAAACCTTATTTAATCGCCTCTTATGACATGCTTGGGCCAATTAGACTATTCTCCATTCCTCCTTCCCGCAACCCCCCACCACCATCACTCAAACCAAAGCACGGAACCCCACACTGGGATCAGTTTCCTTACAACTCAATGCTGTATCATCTGCAAATCTCATGTTGTTAATATTATTTATATCTTCCATCGGCAATCTGTATCACGTCTTTTCAATTTCTCATATCTGAATTATATAAAGCAAAAAGATCTTGCGGTATTACATATCTCTGTTGCACACTCCTCTTTAGTGACCACTGCCTCACTACCTCATTATCAATTTGTGTGGGTGTCTGTGTGAGTGTGTTGATATTGTATATACACATGTTCAATGGCATAATAAGACAGCAAATAAAATAACTAGATAAGACTAAACTGCACCAAGACATGGCTAGCAAGCTAATATGTGACCAATATTACAGAAAGGCATTAGCCTATAGAATCAAGGTAGGGACAACAATATTTCAGCTTACCTGTCTGGTTTCTTGAGACGAAACTGGGCATTGAGGGCTTTCAACCGAGACTCTGCCTAGAAAATAAATATTCCGACAGGTATTGTCTGCTTTTCATCGATTCATTTACTTGCTTTTGTTATTAAAATAAATATGCCGACAATAATTGTCTGCTTTTCATTAATTAATTTACTTGCTTTTATTATTTCACATTCTGTGATTATGATTCGTTTAGCCTAGAAAATAAATATTCCGACAAGTATTGTCTGCTTCCCATTGACTGATTTACTTGCTGTTGTTATTTCATATTCTGAGACTATGATTCATTTCTCCATGTTTCAGTACAAAGGTCTACGCACCATTAAGATTCCTCTAGTGAGGAATTCTCAGCCAAGTCTGCAGAAAAGTCAAACTGTAGAGAATAGAACCTAAAGCTCTACAATGTTAACAATGAAGATTGAGATGGTTTTCATATGTTTAGCAGGTATTCAAGTCACCACAGCAAATCACTTCTGTTTGTTGTAGTAGTCTGGTTACCTCAAGTCAAGGTTGCTTCCTGAAAATGCCTTTTCATGGACTAATGTTAGAAGTATGTTCCTCCCACATGTCAGTTCGTGTTCCCAACATCTCCTCATTCCTTCCTACTGCCTTCTATCTCCCAATGGCATAAGCCCTCATCCAATATTCACCAAGAACTCTGAAGACTATCTCCTACTTCTGTATTTACTCTCAACAGTGGCGTTGACATGTTGTGCTGTGGTTTACAGCTAGGCTGGGATAGCTGTACCTTTTGGATCATCACATTTGTTTATGATGACTCAGAAAGCAGGCTGAGGACAAGCATGCTTTGTGCAGAGTGGCATGCTTCACTTCAGAGGTCACGGGTGAGGTAGGTGAGGACAGGCATGCTTTGTGCAGAGTGGCATGCTTCACTTCAGAGGTCACGGGTGAGGACAGGCATGCTTTGTGCAGAGTGGCATGCTTCACTTCAGAGGTGAGGACAGGCATGCTTTGTGCAGAGTGGCATGCTTCACTTCAGAGGTCACGGGTGAGGACAGGCATGCTTTGTGCAGAGTGGCATGCTTCACTTCAGAGGTCACAGCTGAGGTAGGTGAGGACAGGCATGCTTTGTGCAGAGTGGCATGCTTCACTTCAGAGGTCACAGCTGAGGTAGGTGAGGACAGGCATGCTTTGTGCAGAGTGGCATGCTTCACTTCAGAGGTCACAGCTGAGGTAGGTGAGGACAGGCATGCTTTGTGCAGAGTGGCATGCTTCACTTCAGAGGTCACAGCTGAGGTAGGTAAGGACAGGCATGCTTTGTGCAGAGTGGCATGCTTCACTTCAGAGGTCACAGCTGAGGTAGGTGAGGACAGGCATGCTTTGTGCAGAGTGGCATGCTTCACTTCAGAGGTCACGGGTGAGGAAGAACTGTCTAGATCTTTTCTCTGTGGTGTGCCTGTGTGTTGGGAAATGAACACAAGGACAGACTGGCTGGCTCTACACAAGCTGGTGGAATACTGATGCATGGTAAGGCAGACAGGATTAGGGTCTTGTGGGAGAACATTTATAATTCGGAAGAGCAAAATGATCACCACAGTCTGGTGAGAATGATGCAGCAGGTAGTGAAGAGCTGTTCTGGCTAATATCAATGTTCAGAAGAAAGGCAAGATAGATATATAATCAGAATGCCACTGGCACCACTGGTATTGGAACTCTGCACTGGCTGCTGAAGATTGGGACAGAGTGCATATGAGAATGCCTAGAGTTCTGTGATGTCGGTTCTTGAATCAACTCTCTTTATGACTGGTTGAATTTTGCAGCTAAAGTGTATATCATATTAGGTAGCCACATGAGGATGGAAACCCAGACATACTGACTGAGAGAGATGTCGTGATCTCTGCCACTGGACATAAACTACTACCTGACTACTGTATATTAGATAAACAGACAGTCTGGTTATAGCACAGACAGTTTACACCATCAGAATAGACACTTCTGAAGATCAATCACTGCCAAAATTCACTGCACAGATGACACTAGATGATGATGCTGATATTACCTGAAGCAAAAACAGCACAAATAGTAAAGGCTTCGATTCCATGCTTGTAGCGTACTGGGTACATGCTGTCAGCCCCACAGAGTACATGAAGTGGTCAATGCCAGCCTGTCACCTTTACTTCCCAACTCACTAGTGTTCCCATTTTAGGCCATGTCAACAAATCTGCCTGTAAGGCTATTTGAATCTACAATCTGGAGGTCAGCATAGAAGCCAGTGTGTTAGTGTGGGCCTCAAACACAATAAGGATCTTCTTCTTCTTTTTCTTTTTCTTCTTAGTGATCTATGGCTGTAAACTCTGGCAGAAAGTACTAGTAGTTCATCCAGTTCCAGGCTTGAAAACTTTCTGCACATCCATTTTACACATATGGCTCATTGTGTGCAGACTGCTGGTTCGTCACCTCAGGTAGATGCATTCCGACTCTGAAGGAAACTGTGATCATATATATGCTGATCAGGAGCCCCTTTAAGGAAACCGTTTCCAGGAAGACCTCTAAAAGGTGCAGATAGATCTTCACTAGCAGGAGCCTAGTCCTGGTGTCCCACCACCTGTGGTTCACTCGGCACTTCCGCACCCTCAGTATGAATGATGACAAAGATTAATGAGCAACACATTTCTGCGATAACTCTATTCAAGATGCATATTCTCAAATGCAATAAAACATACATCTCGCCGGACTTCAAAGAGGCCTGTGGTCTTCTCATCTAAAAACCACTGGTAAGGAGAACACAAAAGAAGAAAAGCACGACAATGCTGATGACTACAGAAATGTTTATGATTCTACTGATGACAGCAAAGCTCTGATCTAACAGTTTAGAGGGCTTAAGTCCACAGGATCAATTTGAGTGCACCAAGTTTGATCCCATAAGCCTCAGCATGTCTCCACAAAAAGTCAAGCCAGCTGCCGAGAGTGTTGCACAAGGCACAAACTCTCCAGGAATCTCTGCATAAACTGCACTTGTGAACCAATCCACTCTGTCTGCACTGGTGAACCAATCAACACTGTCTGCACTGGTGAACCAATCAACTCTGTCTGCACTGGTGAACCAATCAACTCTGTCTGCCTGGTGAACCAATCAACACTGTCTGCACTGGTGAACCAATCAACTCTGCACTGGTGAACCAATCAACTCTGTCTGCAATGGTGAACCAATCAACTCTGTCTGCACTGGTGAACCAATCCACTCTGTCGGCACTGGTAAACAAATCAACTCTGTCTGCACTGGTGAACAAATCAACTCTGTCTGCACTGGTGAACCAATCAACTCTGCACTGGTGAACCAATCCACTCTGTCGGCACTGGTGAACCAATCAACTCTGTCTGCACTGGTGAACCAATCCACTCTGTCGGCACTGGTGAACCAATCAACTCTGTCTGCACTGGTGAACCAATCAACTCTGTCTGCACTGGTGAATCAATCAACTCTGTCTGCACTGGTGAACCAATCAACTCTGTCTGCACTGGTGAACCAATCCACTTTGTCTGCACTGGTGAACCAATCAACTCTGTTTGCACTGGTGAACCAATCCACTCTGTCGGCACTGGTGAACCAATTAACTCTGTCGGCACTGGTGAACCAATCCACTCTGTCGGCACTAGTGAACCAATCAACTCTGCACTGGTGAACCAATCAACTCTGTCTGCACTGGTGAACCAATCAACTCTGTCTGCACTGGTGAACCAATCAACTCTGTCAGCACTGGTGAACCAATCAACTCTGTTGGCACTGGTGAACCAATCAACTCTGTCTGCCCTGGTGAACCAATCAACTCTGTCTGCCTGGTGTACCAATCAACACTGTCTGCACTGGTGAACCAATCAACTCTGCACTGGTCAACCAAACAATTCTGTCTGCACTGGTGAACCAATCCACTCTGTCTGCACTGGTGAACCAATCAACTCTGCACTGATGAACCAATCAACTCTGTCTGCACTGGTGAACCAATCAACTCTGTCGGCACTGGTGAACCAATCAACTCAGTCGGCACGTGTGAACCAATCAACTCTGTCTGCACTGGTGAACCAATCAACTCTGCACTGGTGAGCCAATCCACTCTGCACTGGTGAGCCAATCCACTCTGTCGGCACTGGTGAACCAATCAACTCTGCACTGGTGAGCCAATCCACTCTGTCGGCACTGGTGAACAATCAACTCTGTCTGCACTGGTGAACCGATCCACTCTGTCGGCACTGGTGAACCAATCAACTCTGTCTGCACTGGTGAACCAATCAACTCTGTCTGCACTGGTGAATCAATCAACTCTGTCTGCACTGGTGAACCAATCAACTCTGTCTGCACAGGTGAACCAATCAACACTGTCTGCACTGGTGAACCAATCAACTGTCTGCACTGGTGAACCAATCCACTCTGCACTGGTGAACCAATCCACTCTGTCGGCACTGGTGAACCAATCAACTCTGCACTGGTGAACCAATCAACTCTGTCTGCACTGGTGAACCAATCAACTCTGTCTGCACTGGTGAACTAATCAACTCTGTCGGCACTGGTGAACCAATCAACTCTGTCTGCACTGGTGAACCAATCCACTCTGTCAGCACTGGTGAACCAATCAACTCTGTCTGCACTGGTGAACCAATCAACTCTGTCTGCACTGGTGAACCAATCAACTCTGTCTGCACTGGTGAACCAATCAACTCTGTCTGCACTGGTGAACCAATCAACTCTGTCCATGAAATTAGCAAGGGGCAAACAGTTTGACCACAGAGACCCCTCGCTGACCATGACAGTAAACATGATGATGTCAGTGATTATGATGTCAGGGATGATGATACAAGTGATGATGATACAAGTGATGATGATAGAATTGACAATGATGTCAGTGGTGATGATGATATCAGTGATGATGATAGAAGTGACAATGATATCAGTGATGATAGAAGTGACATTGATGTCAGTGATGATGATACCAGTGATGATGATAGAAATGATGATGATGTCAGTGGTGATAATACAAGTGATGATGATGTCAGTGATGAAGATAAAAGTGATGATGATCGAAGTGATGATGTCAGTGAATATGATACAAGTGGTAATGATGTCAGTGATGATGATGTCAGGGATGATGATACCAGTGATGATGATACAAGTGATGATCACTAACGACTACAACCGTGCTGCTAAAGGCATCCACAAAAGTATGGCAAAGATAATGAAACCACTCACTTTGCTGTAAAAGTCGGTAGCATTAACCGTGTCCCTCCAGCCTTGCTCCTGAAATAAAAACATTCATCATCAACAACCACCATCAGCACAGCAATGCACATATTCAACAGCATCAAAAGTCTCTGGGTACGCATCAGCAGGGAAATAAAACACACAATTTTTGACAGCATGCCTTTTCCCTAGAGCAGTATACGGATGTGAGTCGCAGTCTTAAACCCACTGACTGCCCCGATCGCAGGTTTTGCAATCCGCCGATGTTTACACCTGGGCATTGAGCACTTTCAAAGAAGATTCTGCCTAGAAAATAAATATTTTAACAACTACTGTCTGCTTTACATTGACTGTTAGGTCCAGCATGGTGGAACAGTTTGGAGAATATTTCTGATGCAGTGCGATAGTATCTTGATTGCTTTACATTGACTGTTAGGTCCAGCATGGTGGAACATTTTGGAGAATATTTCTGATGCAGTGCGATAGTATCTTGATTGCTTTACATTGACTGTTAGGTCCAGCATGGTGGAACAGTTTGGAGAATATTTCTGATGTAGTGCGATAGTATCTTGATTGCTTTACATTGACTGTTAGGTCCAGCATGGTGGAACAGTTTGGAGAATATTTCTGATGCAGTGCGATAGTATCTTGATTGCTTTACATTGACTGTTAGGTCCAGCATGGTGGAACAGTTTGGAGAATATTTCTGATGCAGTGCGGTAGTATCTTGATTGCTTTACATTGACTGTTAGGTCCAGCATGGTGGAACAGTTTGGAAAATATTTCTGATGCAGTGTGATAGTATCTTGATTGCTTTACATTGGACAGTGAAGGTGAAAATATTTCTGATGCAGTGTGGTAGTATCTTGATTGCTTTACATTGGACAGTAAAGGTGAAAATATTTCTGATGCAGTGTGGTAGTATCTTGATTGCTTTACATTGACTGTTAGGTCCAGCATGGTGGAACAGTTTGGAGAATATTTCTGATGCAGTGTGGTAGTATCTTGATTGCTTTACATTGACTGTTAGGTCCAGCATGGTGGAACAGTTTGGAGGATATTTCTGATGCAGTGTGGTAGTATCTTGATTGCTTTACATTGGACAGTGAAGGTGAACATATTTCTGAACAGTCTGGTGGCTGTGAGTTTGATCATTCTAATGAACTGGTATCAAACAGAGAGTCAGAACTAGAAGATGCTGCCGATGTTGGTGTGTTAGGTTACACTGGTTCATGTAAACTGTTTCAGGTATGTGCTTCACGTGTATATTGTTTGATGAGTCTGTTGGTATAAGATTGTGAAAATTAACCCTCTGTGGCTTAGAGTTTAGTGACAATGGTTTCACACTGCATCCCTTATGTTGACCGGGGATGCCATTACTGTGATGCGTGTTTTGGGATAAGATCATTTTTGTGGCTTTTTGAATTTGACAATCCAGTCATACCCTACCAGAAATTCTTGGTGCAAAATGGCAAACAGCCACCAAATTTGCAAAATTGTTAGACAGAGCTCTCATCCAGGATTATTTTAGCTTGTTATACTGGTGTCAGAAGATTTTTCGGTTGCCCCCTTTTTTTTTTTTTTTTTCACTAATGTACAGCCACATGATGATGATGTACAATAAGATTATGCAATTTTTTTTTTTGTTTCTTTAGATTTGTTTTCTATTCAATCAATTTTGTGCAAAAGCAGGACAATACTATGAGTTTATGTTAAATAGGTGTGATGCTATGGTTTTTTTTTTCAGCTCTATACTGCTGTCAGAAAGAGAAAAGATTTTTCAGTTGCCTATTTTGCACCAATGTACAGCAACATGATGATGTCAAATTAGAAAGAAGATTTTTATTCTTGAAATTTGTTCTCCATTCAGTATGGTGCAAACGTAGAAAACACTATGAGTTTATGTTATCTTCCTCTTCTTTGCGTTCGGTTTCGTATCAGACCATAAGGTGAGTTGCCTCTATGAACTCTCATGTCAGCAGCAGGTCCTTCATGGTTCCCAATAGCTTGACTGCACACTTTGCTCTTGAGGCCTGTTGTCCTTTTGAAGTTGTATGTAGAGTGGGCAGGTCTGCAGAATGGGCTCAGGTGTTTGTAGTGCCGTTTGACAGGCACACTGGGGGGAGTGTACAATTTGTATATTATGCATGTGGTGGTTGAGCATGCAGTGTCATGTTCGTAGACAGAAAATTGTTGTATGTTGCTCTCTGTTGAGTCTAATGATTGGGTCTTGTGGATGTTTACTGTTAGTTTGTTCTCTTAACGATTCCGTGTATTTTTCCTTGATAAGTGTTCTGATTTCTGGTAATGACAATATGGATTGGAAAAAATAATAGCAGAAGGCCTGGTACCAGGAAATAGGAGCACAAAGATGGGCAGAGGATATAAGTGCCACCTTGGGTTAAAGGATTTCATTTTCTAAGACATGGCTTTTTCCATGAGTCAGTTTTCTTTAAATGTTAAAGTCTGGCAGAATGTCAGTACTGAACTTCTTGATTCTAAACTTGGACATGTTGACAAAGTCATTTCTGTCTAAACTAAACATCCATTGATGATGACAGCAAACACAGTGATTTTCACAGCAAACACAGTGATGATGACAGCAAACATAGTGATGATTACAGCAAACATAGTGATGATGACAGCATAGTGATGATGACAGCAAACATAGTGATGATGACAGCAAACAGAGTGATGATGACAGCAAACAAAGTGATGATGACAGCAAACACAGTGATGATGACAGCAAACACAGTGATGATTACAGCACAGTGACAATGACAGCAAACACAGTGATGATGACAGCAAATGCAGTGATGATGACAGCAAACATAGTGATGATGACAGCAAACATAGTGATGATGACAGCATAGTGATGATGACAGCAAACAGTGATGTTGACAGCAAACATATGCTGATGACAGCATAGTGATGATGACAGCAAACAGTGATGTTGACAGCAAACAGTGATGATGACAGCAAACACAGTGATGATGACAGCAAACACAGTGATGATAACAGCAAACATAGTGAAGATGACAGCAAACATAGTGAAGATGACAGCAAACACAGTGATGATGAATGCAAACACAGTGATGATGACAGCAAACATAGTGATGATGACAGCAAACATAGTGATGATGACAGCATAGTGATGATGACAGCAAACAGTGATGATGACAGCAAACACAGTGATGATGACAGCAAACACAGTGATGATGACAGCAAACATAGTGAAGATGACAGCAAACACAGTGATGATGACAGCAAACACAGTGATGATGACAGCAAACACAGGGATGATGACAGCAAACATAGTGATGATGACAGCAAACACAGTGATGATGACAGCAAACATAGTGATGATTACAGCAAACATAGTGATGATGACAGCATAGTGACGATGACAGCAAACAGTGATGATGACAGCAAACAGTGATGATGACAGCAAGTGATGATTACAGTGCAGTGACGATGAGAGCAAACACAGTGATGATGACAGCACAGTGATGATGACAGCAAACACAGTGATTATGACAGCAAACGCAGTGATGATGACAGCAAACACAGTGATGATAACAGCAAATGCAGTGATGATGACAGCAAACATAGTGATGATTATAGCAAACATAGTGATGATGACAGCAAACATAATGATGATGACAGCAAACATAGTGATGATGAAAGCAAACATAGTGATGATGACAGCAAACATAGTGATGATGACACCAAACATAGTGATGATGACAGCAAACATAGTGATGATGACACCAAACATAGTGATGATGACAGCAAACATAGTGATGATGACAGCAAACATAGTGATGATGACAGCAAACTGAAAGATAATATAGAAGAAGATAATACTGAAATAAATGACAGTGAAATAAGCAGAGTGAAGATAATCACAAAGATGACTGTCAAAATGATGGTAATGATAAAACCAATTATAGTCAAAACAGTAGTCGAAGTGATGAGAGTTAAGTAGAAAATAATGATGATGATGATAATGTAGACAGAACCTGATTAGCTGAAGGAATCATCAGAGAGGACTTGCAATAATCAAAGACAGTAGAATTGAACTGTACCAGAGTTTGCTCTTACATAGCTGATGTCAACAGAGGGCAACGCGAACAATTATAAAAGATAAAGCCAAATAAAAAGAAGAGGATGAGATGATAGCAACACCAGGATGAGATGATAGCAAACACCAGGATGAGATGATAGCAAACACCAGGATGAGATGATAGCAAACACCAGGATGAGATGATAGCAACACCAGGATGAGATGATAGCAACACCAGGATGAGATGATAGCAACACCAGGATGAGATGATAGCAACACCAGGATGAGATGATAGCAACACCAGGATGAGATGATAGCAACACCAGGATGAGATGATAGCAACACCAGGATGAGATGATAGCAACACCAGGATGAGATGATAGCAAACCAGGAGATATAGCAACACAGGCATGAGATGACAACACCAGGATGAGATGATAGCAACACCAGGATGAGATGATAGCAACACCAGGAGGATGAGATGATAGCAACACCAGGATGAATGATGCAAACACCAGGATGAGCATAGCAAACACCAGGATGAGATGATAGCAAACACCAGGATGAGATGATAGCAAACACCAGGATGAGATGATAGCAACACCAGGATGAGATGATAGCAAACACCAGGATGAGATGATAGCAAACACCAGGATGAGATGATAGCAAACACCAGGATGAGATGATAGCAAACACCAGGATGAGATGATAGCAAACACCAGGATGAGATGATAGCAAACACCAGGATGAGTGATTGAATTTCCTATATACACAGCACATCTTCAGTCCAAGATCAGACATACCTGCTGCAAAAACCCTATAAATATTTTGTCTTGGCAGAGTCTGGGGTGAGCGGCACATCTGAGCAGGAAAATCTGTTGTAGACATAGATCAGACTTCATGTCACAAACTAGACATAACACTACATGTAATTTACTTAATTTAGGGAACCTAGAATTAAAAACAAGGATGTGACAAGGAGGGATAGAGT